AATTAGAATCTGAATGGCTTCTAGATACAAATCCAGCTTACAGGATAAATATGGGAGAGAGGAATATCTCAAATGACACCACAGAGACACAATCAGCATAATCCAGAATGTGAGAAACAAAGGACAAATGACACAGTTCTCCAATCACCAATTGCAAGGGGGGAAAAAGGAAATGGCATCTACAGATTTAAAGAAACTCAAGAAATGTATCAAGCAAATGCAATGTGTAGATCCTGTTTAGATCACAATTTAAACAAACCAACTATAAAAATAAATTCTTAAGATAATCAGAAAACCTGAACCCTGACTGGATATTTGCTGAGATTAAGAAAGGATTGTTAACAAGGTGTCTGACTGGCTCAGTTGGTAAGGCATATATCTCTTGATCTTGGGGTCATGAGACCAAGCCCCACAATGGGTGTAGAGATTACTTTAAAAAAATTAAAATTCAGGGGCACCTGGGTGGCTCCGTTGGTTAAGTGTCTGACTCTTGACTTCGGCTTGGGTCAATATCTCATGGTTCGTGGGTTTAGGCTCCATGTCAGGCTTCATGCTAACAGTGCAGAGCCTGCTGGAGATTCTCTCTCTCTCATTCTCTCTCAAAATAAATAAACTTTAAAAAAATAAAAACATTAAAATTCAAAAAAAAGAAGAAATAGTTATCCTGTTTGGATGTGATTATGGTGCTGTGGTAATGTTCATACAAAGCCCTTATTTCTTAGAAATAGACACTGAAATACAGATGATGAAATATTGAGATGTCTGGAAGTTGCCTCCATGGGGTTGGCAGGTGAGGAAGACATAAACTTGACTAGCCATGAGTTGGTGATAACTGTGGCTGGGCAACAGGAACATGAGAGTTCATTAGCTTATTCTCTCAACTATATAATCTACATAAAAGTAGATTTGAAATTTTCCATAATAAAAAGTTTAAAAGAAAACAGATGGCTTTTCTTCCCCAACTTTTTTTTTTTTTTTAGCAGCAATTTATTGGTTTTACTAATGCTAGGAAAAGCTACATTTTCAAAGCTGCTCCTTTCTCCCTGGCAAAAGACAAAAAGTGGTTGCCCCTTTGGGTGAAATTTTGACATCATCACCATTCAGATGTTAGGTCGCTTTAGCATAATCCCTATAGCATGCCTTCATGAGAATCCAGCCCTGGGGCCACACATGATCTCTAAACGACAAAAGACTTTTTTTTTTTATGTTTTATTTATTTCTGAGAAAGAGAGAGACGGTGTGAGCAGGGGATGATCAGAGAGAGAGGGAGATACAGAATCCAAAACAGGCTCCAGGCTCTGAGCTAGCTGTCAGCACAGAGCTCGATACGGGGCTCAAACTCACAAACCGTGAGATCATGCCCTGAGCTGAAGTCGGACAATTAACCGACTGAGCCCCCCAGGTGCCCCCTGTTATTTCTAAACCTGTCAATTATATCCTTTCATTTCATCCTTACAAATTAGTCCCAGATTTTCCTAGAGCCTGTTAGCTGATACAGTATAACAAGTCTGGTTAATCCCAGACCAGATATACTAATCCTGACAAACCCATTTATTTTTATTTTTATTTTCTTATTGAGATAGAATTATGACAAACCCATTCTGAGAAAGGAATTCAGGGTGTGGTTCTCAGAGCAGCCTCACTCACCTTCCGGCACACTGCCAGGTTCTGTGTGCCAGCTGCCTTTGATTAAAGATGTCTCTACAATATTTGAGCTGGAAGTGAGTGAGAGGCAACCTGGGCATTGGTCACGGATTTTGAAGGGTAATGAGAGAAAGGTGTCTCACCTGGTTCGCCCCAGCTCTCCTCCACACTCCTGCCCTTGGCCCCATTCTCACTGTTCCAGGCTATGTAGACCACACTTCTCATGCTATGTCTCCTTCTCTCCATCTCTCATAACCCCACCATTTTTCCAGCATGCCTTGGGTTTCTCCTTTGAGGCTTAGCTCTGTCTCTCCACTCTTCTCACTTGACAACCCTTCTGTAAACACTGTTTATTTGGCATTTCTCAGACACTGAGCTGCTCAGACACTGAGCCTTCTCAGTCTGAGCTGCTCAGACTGAAACTCCATGATTTGGCTCTTCGAGAGCTGTCTGACCAACGGGACTGTGAGGTACTAGAGGACAGGGAAGTATCATATCCCCTTCCAGACCCTCCACAAAGCCCAGAACAGTGCTTGCTCTTGATAGTGATAAATATACCTTGGCTGTATTGACTGAAGATCAATTTGCAAATGTCAGAACATGTAAAGTCCACAGGGTAAAGATTAGACAGGTTGCCACTGGTTTATATGGCTCTTTTGTGCAATTTTTTGAAAAGGTGCTTACTGGGGTAGTGATACAGTTTTGTCTTGATCTGGTAGTGTGTCATGGGTGTATATATAGGTTAAATCCCATCAATTTGAACACGTCACTGTACATCAGGCATAAAAATAAGTGAATGAATGATAAGTGCCCCTTTCTCTATGAGAATACAGCCCATACCAGGACATACAGCTCAGAGAGTAGAGCCTGAGACAGAGCCTTCCCTGATTTGGTACTTCTTGAGAAAGGCACAAAATGTAACTGTACATGTGACCCTGAGACCAGAAACAGAGAGCCCCCTGCCCTGAGGGACTCTCCGATGCCCAAAGTGCCATATCATCCAAACGGGCTAAGAGGCAGCACTGTGGATGTGGCGGTGCTGCTACTTACGGGATTTGAGTCAGGCTCTTCTGTCATAAACGGTGGAGCTGCCACCTCACAGAGCCCAAGTCAGCTCAGCATGAGGAATGAAAAGGCTAATTCTGGGGTAGCAAGGGGTAATGCTGCAACAGGAAAGAGCCAGGAATCAACTCCCCCAGAACCTCAGTTCCATTCTCCTATGGGGTTAGCAAAATGATCTCCCCCTTATATGACCCTCCACCTATCTCTATGAGGCTTCCCACTGCCCCCAAATTCACAAGCTTGCTTGAAACTGTGCTGCTGCTGCTGCTGTTTCCTGAATACCCAGAAGCCCATGCCATGGGGCTTTTTCTTCATCAATGGGCCAATCTGTTCAGCCGCATCTCTGAACAGAACATGCTAAATTTGGCATCAGGTACCTGAGATGCTCTGGTGAAAAGTAGAAGCCATTCTACTGCTGAAGGAGAAACATACCATGGAGGCACCGCTCATCTCAGGTGCTGTAACAAGCTGACTATCAGCAGGAGCAGTATATCCTGTGTCCTAAGGGGCTAGTCCTGAGCTTTGATGACAAGTAGCCAGCTCACCCTGAGCTTGACAGTCATAGGACCTTAGCACCACAGGCCCATGTGTGAACCTTGCCCACAGCAAGGAGCAATATTATGTGACTGCTAAATTGAGAGGGAGCCCATGGTTCCCCAACCCACAGCAGTTTGTGGGTCTGCCCTATAGCAGAATGCATAGGGGTAGAAATGAAACACCAAAAAGGAATAGGAGGAGTAGACACCAGCCTCTTTTCTGTCCCTCTGAGCTGCCCAAATCTTTCCAAAATCTCATATGCTTGGCTCTGCAACATCAGATAACCTATAAGCAGAGTAGTCTGGTTACCAGAAGAGAAACGTCAAATTCCCCATATAGAGAACTACCAATAACAAGGTGTTTGTCCATTCATCTGGAGACGTTCTCTGTTGGACAGAGAGCTCTAAAGCCTGGGTGAGGCTCCCTCAAGCTAAAACTCAAACAGCAGCCCAACACGCAGCAAAATGGACAGTATTTGCAGTTCTAAAAACCGTATGCTAACCAACTGCATTACTGTAATAGCTAATGTAATATGGGCAAATTCCCCCTTTAAAAGGAATGCTCACAGGCTGGCCTGTCTGTGTCAGGTTTCAGGCTATTAAGAGCCTTTCATTACTATTAGTTGTCTACGAAATGACTTCTGAAGAAATGAACACATGAGAGACACAGTTGGGCAGCTGAAGGATCAAAAATTATGCTCCCTTACAGTTTATGTGTTCCCACGCAGAAAAGCCAAGGCAAAATTATCAGCAGACTCTCATGGAGCCAGAAGCGTGGCACCCTCCACCCCAGGGTTTTCTACTCCCTAGGCCCATTTGGTGTAAAGACAATGCCTTCCATTTTATCCTGTTGTCTCTTGGTAGCTTTCCTGAGTTTTCAGTCTACCAATCTATCATATATTGGCATTCCCTTCCACTGCATTCACTACCACTTGAGTGTTTTTGTAGGACTTCAGTTGGCATACACTTTAAACAATCTGGTTTCACAGTATTTGATCAGATATGTTCTGTTGAAAACATTCTATGTGGGTTTCAGTTTTTCCCTGGTTTGAGGTGGTAATCTAAAATCATAAGGCAACAGGAACGTATTTGGTGATAGATGATTCAATAGCATTTTTGCCTCACCCCAGAGTGTTTCACTAAACCTTGGTGAAAACATATGTCCCTATTTGTATTTTGAGCCTAAATAAGTACTTTTTGGTGTCCGGTGGCATTTTTCCTTCCTCTAAATATGATTATGGTCACTAAATGCCTGAGGAAAGCGCATGACCAAGTTCATGGTTCAACTATTTCCATATCTCTCTGTTTCTCGCAGTGACACTTATCTTCCCTGACAGCCACTCCCATTGTGCTCTTTCCTTGGCCCAACACAATGGACACATGCAGACACCAGCAGACAAGGAGGACGTTTTCCATCCCACTGCTCACCAGTGCGGAGGGACTATGCTGAGGTTACATAAGCCCCTCCTGAGCCCAGCGTTGGGGGGAAGCAAATTTGGGGTTCGTGACGGAGTCATAGTCTGCAGGCCCCGACTGACCCTGCGCTCACTCACCATCCTGCCTTAGCAAGACAGGGCGGCTTGAAAGGGAGGGCCACTTCCCGCGACCATCGGGCCAATCTGCCTGGGTTCAAAGTGTGGCTGCACGTCCGAACCTCGCTGTCCATACTACATCGCAGGGTCGCGGGCCCTGGCCCCGAACTCAGGCTGCAGCTCCCCGTCCCCCACCCCCACCCCGGACGCCGCGACGCGCGCTTACCTGCCGGGACCTGGCCCAGGACCTGGGCCCGGTGGTCCCGCGGTCGCCCTCGCCGCGCCAGCAGCGGGGAGCTGTCCGCCGCCAGCAGGTGCTGAAGGCGGCTTCCCTGCGCCGGGGCCCGGGCCCTGGCCCGGACCTCCGGGCGGCAGTGGCCCGTCACCAGCGCCGCCCTCCAGGCTGGCCTCGTTGCCCATGGTGGGTGGGCGGGCGGGGTCGGGGTCGTGCTGGGCCCGGGCCGGCGGCTCCCGGGCGGCTGCTCACACGCTCGGCGCCGCCGCCGCCGCCATCTCCCAGCTCGGCTCGCGCCGCCGCTTGCCGCTGCGCATGCGCTTGCGCGGCCCGCGCGCCCCCTTCCCTGCACACGCCCCCCCGCTTCCGGAGCGCGCGCGCGCTCTCCAGCCAGGCGGTGAGGAAGCATGTCCACAAGGCAGCGGCGGGGTCGCTGGGAAACAGCTACCCGCCAGCGCATGCGCCCTCCGCAGCCGACACAGCGAGGTTGTGCTGCCTGGAGCCTAGCGGGAGTTAGCGGTAGCGTCCCACGTTGAACCAGGATGGAAGGGCACCTGCCACAAGGAGCGGCCCTGGGGGCGTCTGGCCGTGTCATGCCCTAGTGCCAATAGCACTTCCTGTCCCGGGAAACTTGGGGAGTAGGGGCTCTCCTTTGGGTAACCTCGGTTTTCAGCCAGCCAGCAGGGTTCTGAACAACAGGCCTCAGAGACGGGCCACCCAGTGTGGCCTCAAAGAATGTTTAGGAGTTAGAAAGACAAGTGAACAAGACTGTTCAGAGGTCACGGAAGACGGAGACAGGATGCTCAGCGATGGGGCAGGATTGTGAGGGCCTTGAAGGCCAGCTGGGGAGTGGAGACTTTATCCAGATGGCGATGGGAACTATCTGGGATTCAAGCCGAGGGCCTGGTCCCATGGGACAGGAGTCAGGAAGTGTCTCTGGGAAAGGTGAAGGGTGTGTCAGGACTGGCCTAAAGCCAGATGGAAGGCCTCCTCGGTAGACCTTGGGACAGTGACCTTGAGGATGGAAAAGAGGAGTTGATATTTCTCAGAGGGCTTGAGCTGTGGCTCCCAGAGACTGTCTAGATGAGAAGCTGCAAGCTGCCTCTGCATTAACAGAGAGCTGACCAAATTACTTTTCAGTGACCTCACTTTTACAGATTTCAGTATTTACACGCTACTCAAGATGCTCTGCTTCAAGGCTTCTCACACAAACTTGTGCTTTCTCGAGGGTAAATATTTCCTAGAAGATACAGACTATATTCCAAACAATTCCTGACTCCATAAATCACGGCTGTGGAGAAGAACCTATTTAATTCTCCTAATGGTGAGGAATATCTCACATGGGATGTCAGCAGTTCTAACCCCACCTGGAATAATCTGAACACTATAGCCAGTGAACACTGATAGCCAGGCAGATGGACAGACCTTGGCTGGGCCTTCCCCATGCACTCTTAGTTGCCCTTCCCAGTCCTTAAGATGGAGCTTCCATGAAGCCTGGACTCCCTGACTGCCTGCCACTGACTGCCTGGAATGAGGAGGGCCTCTCTGCCTGTGTTATCATGGCCCTCACTGTGTTCCCGCCTGGTCTGATTCATCTTTATGAGTATCTGATGACTACATGTGTGTATCTAGGCTCCCCAAGAATCCACATCTCAGCTCTGCCACCTCCTAGGCGGAACTTAGCTAACTTAGGCTTGCACGCTTCCATTTCCTAGCCTGCAAAGTCATGATACTGGTAGCCTCTCAAACAGGGATTGTGAGGGTGAAATGGCTGATGGAGTTAAAACACAAAGTCAAGTGACTGGCATACATATAACTAACTTTATTAGTCGTTGTCTTGCTGGTGGGTGGTCTGGGATTTGGGGGGTTTGTGCTGCACCTTTTCTTCTGGGAAAGAACAACCATGATGGGCAGGCGAGTGACCTGACCTTGGCTCAACCCAGGCTCTTCTGCCTTCACAGACACTAATCAGTGTGATTTGTGCCATTTGGAAGTAGGGGAGAGAAGGATGTTTGTTTTCTATTTTTGTAGAAGCCAAAGGAGCTATGGCTTTCCAGATTTAAATCAACATGCCTCTGGTTCCAGTGGGGGTAATTAGCCCTACCCAGCCAGCAGGCCTAGGGAGTTGCCCTCCTCAGAGTGGATCCCTGGCTGTTAGCAGACCTCTAGGGTCTCTGCTGCCTTAGTGACAAAGGACACAGTACAGTGGACCCAGGAGGACCTGGAAGTGTGAGTTAGTGATGCCCCTACCTTGTATGCAAACTCTCAGTTCCACTTCCTCTTAAAGCATACCGAGAAACATGCCTGTTCTGTCCACATCCAACCCTGGCATTCAGCCTTGCTGGCTGTGGGATGGTGCTGGTCTCTGGTTGTCTGGATCTCTGATTCAGTCTCTCATTTTTATTCACTGTTCAGGACTTGTTTTCTTCCCCCTTGACCTAGAGCAGGGGATCCTCAACAGCAATACTTTGTCTGACTTGTCCTATCCCCTGCACTGGGCTTCAGCAGGGCCTCAGGGGCTAATGGTTGAGCCAGGTTCTCCATATAACTCTGAGCACTTCCCTCACCTGCACTTCCAAGGGCTTCACCAACCACCAGGCTTAAAAGCACCCCAGAAGGATCTTTGGCTGTAGCACTTGCATCACCACATTTAGGTTATTGACTTAACAAGTGACAGGAGGATGCTAAGATTGGGTCTAGACTTTCTCCTGGTGGAGAGGTCATAGACGAGCTGGCTACACTCACCTAGGAAAATTCACTAGGCTTAACTTTGTGGCTAATGAACAGACAAATCTCTTGGTTTGTGCAAACCAGCTGTGTGGTGTGTCCAGTACCATTCCTTCCTGGATCCGGTTGCTGCCCAGCCAGGAACAGGATGCACCAAGAGGCGCTGAAGAAATTTCCCAGCCCCCTAAGCTTCATTTGCCAAAGGTATCTTCTTCCCACTTCAGTGTGGCATGTGACACATGGCAGTCATTTTGGAGAAAGGCCAGATGGGAAAACAGTCATTTCTCATGCCAAAACAGAACTGATAGATGGATACACGTCCACGTTTTTCTTCGGTCTGTGCTCCCAAATGCTTCTGAAAGACTAGAGGGAAAAAGGAATCAGAAAAAAAATCCATCCATGTAGGAAAAGGCCCAGTCAGAGCCACCTCACTACTAGGATTTGTGGAAATGCTTAGTCATGGGAAGGCAAATCTTGGGAGAATGAAGAGATACACCTGGATGTCAGCTGGGCGACAGGCAAGGCAACATGCAGATGAGCCCCAGGAAGGTGAAGAGGGGCAGAGTGCAGACTCTGAGGCTTCCCTGCTTCCCCACACAGTCCACTTCACCCCAGGCTGCTACTTTTAGTGTGGCAACCTCCACAGGGAGTCTCAGGATCCAAAGATGAAGATGCTGATGAGGATGAAGAAGAAAGCAAATTTTGCAGGTGAAAAGAGGAGGTAGAGAGTGTGGAGGTGGAAGAGAATGAGGGATGATAACTGGGGACAGTTCTGGATGATGGGATGCCATGGGCTTTGGATTATTCCAGAGAGGCTGGGAAAGCTGGCTCCTATCTCTGGAGCCGCTGGGCTCTGCACTTTTCTTTTTGTTGTGCTGCTGCTGCTGAGGCCTGTCTCCCCTCCCATTGAGAAGCAATTCAGGAACGTGGCTCCCTGTCCCCATTCCTCTTCTGGGTTGGAGAAACAGTACTGAAGAGGAAGGAAGGAAACCCAAAGAAACAGAGTTTCTCTACTGGCTGAGGCTTGTCAGCACCACTCACTAAATGAGGAATAAGGCAGCTTCCCAAGCAAGCCTCAGGCTGGTATGAAGCTACAAACAAGAGACCTGCTCCTTTTCCTGCTCAGCAGCCCACCTAGGCTGGCCTGGACAACCTTGTTTGTGTACTAAAGTCTCCAGCTGGCCCATGGTCCTTGGTAGAGTAGGAAAAGGGAACAAAGCCGGAAGTTATAGAATTTGCTTGGTGTACTGACTGCAGAATTCCTTTCCTGTTGTAATGTGCAAATCTTTATTTGCATTATGTGAAAAAAGCCAGTAAAAAAATCATCAGAAATGTTTACCACCAGTCTAACCCCACCGCCCATGCATTGCTCCCAAGAAAGCTAATTAAGCCCCACTGCTATTATAGTTATGTGCTTCCAAAGGCTTGTTATGACAAGAAAAATAACGAAGACACAGTTTCTCCAAGTTCTAAGCGTCCAAGTCAAAACATGCTGCTTTCCTTGCCCTTCGGCACTCTCCCAGACAGGCCTCCAGGCTGGCTTTGCCTATCTCATTAACACATGCATGCACTCATCCCTCAGCCAGTGCACAAACAACTCCTTGGTGCCAGGTCCAGAGAAGGCTGTGGGACCTGACCCCAAGGAACTCAGTTGGTAGGAGAGAGATAGGCACACAAATAATTTCCCATAAATGATACAAAATGCTGCCTTGGTCCCTATTGCAATCCTTCCCACCAGGCTCCCAATTCCCAAGTAGTTCCTTCACCTACCTCTGTTCCATGGATAGGAAGGTGGGTGCAGGAGTGGGCAACAGGCCCAAGTGGAGAGTCATGCTTGTATGTCTTCTCCTAACCAGCCCACATGTCCTCCCACAGGTAACAGAGGTTCAGACATGGCTCAGATGGTGCAGGGGAATGGGCAGCTTGCTCAACCCCTCTATCAGATTCAGTTCCACATGTCTTTGGGGAAGTCTCTTATGTAGTACCCTATCTCCTGACCCCTGTGTGGCACTACTATGGCAAACCCAAGCACATTACTGAGTATCACTCTTTACCACTAGGGACTTCAGCCTTCAGGACACAGCCACTCTCTCCACTGAGCTTCATCTTTGTCCTGATCAGAGTGGATTGTGATAGGGCTTTTCTGCCCTCTCAACTTTACGGAGCACTCAGAAAGCCTCCAGGAACCACCAAAAGAGTTCCTGCCTTCCAGGAAAGATGGACAGAATGAGGCAGGGTCTCTGATGGTGAAGCAAAAGCTTTGGGGCAAGTTAAAAGCTCCATAGTCCCTTAGGCCTCTGCCAGGATGGATTATTTCAATTTCATTAACTTTAAATTTCAGTTAAATTTGGTGCTTTTGAGCCCTAGGACAAGGATAGCACCATTCTAGGCTCCAAGGATACAGCAGAAACCAACCATGTTGAGCCTCCTCTACCCTCACTGAGCTTGCAGTCTCCAA